GATGACGGAGCTACTCTGCACCCGGGTAGCGGTTCTCATGCGTACGAGCTTCCTGCAGGAACGCTGTTTCACTACCGCAAAACAATTGCACGTGGCGATCGAGTAGGACATGTATGAACCTGTCTATCGTCCTCCAACAATAGATGATCGTTCCGTGGCGCAGCATAACGCCGGAAACTTCTGGAACGCGTCAAGACGGTCCACGTAACAGCACGCTTGCTTTTCTGACCAACAGGGCGGTACATTCTGGCGCGTCAGAACTGCAAGTTTTGATTGCGGACGAGTATGCATGCGGACGCAACTCAGCGCTTCGACCGCCTCGGCCTGCAAGCCTGGTATTCGGGATGGCGCAAGCAGTTCTCATGTCTCCCGTCGTCCGTGATGGTACGAACCACGGTAGTTGCTGCCCGGTGGTAATCTAGAGGCGGCAGTCAGCATCCGCGCGACTCGTGGGCTCAGCGAACGCATTTTGAATAACGGTGTGTCAAATGAACCCACCGGCAGCGCGAAGAGATATGCCAGTTCGGGCCGCGCAACGAATGCCAAGGGGTGAACAATTCTCCAACAATCAACCCCCTGGCTAAGAGCCGCCTAGACCGCAAACGGTTAGTGGTAGTGTGCCTGGCATCGCATCCTCCACAGTCGCCTAATTGCCCAGCCAGACCCTCCCCCGCAACTGAGCACGGCAAAAGCAGACGCCAATGTCACATTCGACTCAGCGGAGGTTGGACGACTCGTCGAAAAGGAATCCGGACCGCACAAGCTGCGGCGCAGTTGGCAGAGGCAAACGCCTCATCAAAGACCAACCATGGCGTTCACGCAACAAATTGCGCAAAACTATGTGAATACGCATCAGCGCGGCGAGACCGCGGATGGCACCGCTTTGTGGCACTGCAAATCTTTGTCGCATTCGGCCTCTTCGCAGGCATCGCTGACCCTGAAGACCATTCGGAGGCAGAACAGGGGCGTGCTCCACGTGGTGGCGGCGCATTGTTGTTGTTCTTTTCCGTCCTTTGCCGCTTGAAACTCACACGCGACAACATTTTGGTATCTGCACAGCGAAGCTTACTCGTCTCTGACAAGGAGCACCCAGCCTGTCTACGCTCAAGCAGTGGAGTCGCCCGGCGGGCCCGAGTACGACATGTCTCTCGAGTCGTCTCCCTGTATCAGAGGGGCACCTGAAGCCAATATTGGGCGTCCGCTCGGCTGGCAATACACTCGCTGATTGACAGGGGACGGAAGCTCCCTGGACGCAATGGCCCATGTCAAACTTACTCTCATCAACCCTGCAACTGTAGCGTGCTGAGAAGCTTAGCGATCGTCTAGGACCCGTCCACGCCGTCCAACATGCCGCGTCTGGGGCACCTGCATTTCCGTTTGGCCCGGTAAAGAAGTCAGTTGGACGATCTCCTTCCTTTCATGTGTTCGGTCCATATCAGGGCACACTGCTCCACCCAGACTAGTTGTTGGCATCTATTGACATTATTTCCTATATCCTTCGCACATGCCCTAGGCTGTGGATCTTTCTCGCGGAGAATACCTTTAGTGTTGACTCCTCCTTTGTGCATACAACAAAGCCAAGCCACATCCCACCTGACCTACTTAACCTATCTGACCGTTCGACAACGTCCTGTCACACAGTAGCCTGCTTATTGGTGCTCGACAAATCTTGGGGCGGTCACTGGATCTTACAGAGCACGAGACCGAAATTGCTTCGTTGCAGGCGCGATTCGACGATTTGTTGCTTGCCGGCCATGGTCTCTTGATGAGCTGAGAACAGAACTACGTCCGATCATCTTATCGGGCCGCTTCAACTCGCATACGACGATCTGTTGCAACCATGGCGCCCTACGACATGGCCATTATAACCTCTGCCCTGGAAGGCCGTTCTATCAACAAGCCGTACGACCCAACCTTGGACAGCATGGATCCGCTCAAGCCCGTGTACAAGGCGGGGCTCATTCCCCTTGGCATATTCGCCATGATGAGTTTATTATCAGTTACGGCCTTGCTCGGATTCATCACTCAACGAATGATATCGTGGCGGAGACACTACAGACAATATGTCGGATACAACCAATACGTTATCCTCATCTACAACCTCTTAATCGCAGATCTGCAACAATCAATCGCCTTCTCGATATCCTTCCATTGGCTCCGACTAAACAAGATCGCGGCACCCACTGGCGCATGTTTCCTGCAGGCCTGGTTCCTGCAAATTGGGTAAGCATTATCCCCATCCGATATGTCTGTGATATAGACACTGACTCTGTATACCCGTGTTCAGAGATGTCGCGAGCGGTTTCTTCGTCCTCGCAATCGCGATACACACCTGGTTGGGCGTGGTCAAGGGATACAAAATGCCATACTTTTGGTTTGTGGTGTCAATCCTCTCGATTTGGGCCTTTGCATTGTTTCTCACGGTGCTTGGACCGGCGCTCTACCAGGAGCGATACTTCGCTCGTGCTGCAGGATGGGTAAGCCTATCCCTCTCCGACTTCCGTGTACCCAGGAACTATTTGGACTGACTATCAGTAGTGCTGGGTTTCCCACAACTACCAAGAAGAAAGGCTTTGGCTACACTACTTGTGGATCTTCATCGTAGAGTTCGGAACAATCATCATCTACGCCCATGTCTTCTTCCACCTCCGCGGTCGCATCCGGAGCATCATCGCGAACGATACTAGCAAGCTCACGCGCGCGACCAAGTTCATGGTCATGTACCCTTTCGTATACGTCCTCCTCACATTGCCCATAGCGGTGGGTCGCATGGTAGCGATGACCGGTCATCAAATGCCAGAACTCTTCTACGTCGTGGCTGGCTCGCTTCTCACATCGTGCGGCTGGATCGATGCGCTCTTGTACACCTTGACACGGCGGGTTCTAGTCTCCGGAGACTTGAGCACAGGGCACTACAACAGAACTGTCACTGCGACCCTCACGAACGCAGCACGACCAGGCGACGACAATCATTACGGCCTACATTCCATGAGCAACAAAGAACCCCTCACATCCACTGCCCGCACCGTCACCATAGTAGGTGGCAGCAACAGGCTGTCACGAATAGTGGACCACCGCCGCGGGCGCAGTTACACAACGCGGTCACGACTCGAAGACACGCTACACGAGGACGATAGTCCAACACGAGCAGGATCACAAGATTCGATAATCAAAAACACGCCCACAGGGCACGGCATCAGTATTGTCACCGAAACAAGTGTGCAGGTGGAGACTACTGACGACAAAGAGTTCGAAGCAGGAAGGCCACGGTCGAAAGACTGGAATGATGAATACAGTCGAAGGCCGTCATGAGACGGGTATACTTTCACCCTTGGCCTGGTCCTCCTCCAAGTGACCACGCCCGTTGCTCGCAGAAACAACTGCACTACACACCGACCCCGTTGTCCCTACCTTGACTCGATACTACTTGTACACTATCGTTTGTTCAGCACGAAAAGCGTAGGCGTTGGACTGGCGCGACTTCCTGTTTCCTTTGTTTCCAAGCTATGTTGCACTACACTGTCTACCAAGAGGTAGCATTGAGATACCCGAATACAAAACAACTACAATTTCAAACGTACACTGTCCGATTCTAGTCTACCACACCACGATGTGTTAGTGTATTAGCATCATATAAAAGCGCAGTACTGTATAGAACAATACATATCGTCCCCCATGTTCTACCACCTAGTGTTCACGCGAAAGTACATACGCATACATTCGGAGTAAAAATGTGACCGGTCAATCCAACATCCGTTCCACGTTTCACGTTATCGAAAGTAGTAACCTTGCGAAGTTCTTAGTAGACACTCGGAGTGCGGTGCGAGGCTCCTCGCGAAACCTTACGCCTAGTGTAATCCCGACGAACGACGGAGTGCTCACCGAATTCCAAGACAGCGTTACGCTAAGCAGTCCCGAGGTCCAGATTGATTGCATTTAGCTCATATCATTCGTATTACGGGCGTGCTTCCTATGTTGCATGAAATGAACGCCGACTTGAAGGGTGCTGGAGCCGGCTTCGTAGAGAAGCTTTCGAGAGCCACTCCATCGAAGGGAAAAAATGCACATTTACCTACAGCTAGTACTAGCAGTGAATGACCCGAAGGTCTGTATTGCATTCAGAATTTGCTATTTTCGTCTCAGCACTAACGTATTCTACAGACCTATTTTCAGTTTCATCCTTGATCGGGGTGGGGTGGAGCAGAGTATGCCTTGGACGTGTTTGCAGTGGTCCGGGTACTGCAGCCGACAAAACAAAGGGTTGCATCAAGCGAGCGTGAGAAAACATACTCATCGCTTATCTTACATAACACGAACCATTCATCGTTTAGACGTACAGGGTTAAGGTATGGTAGTACGCGTGGTTCATGGTGGCGATCGCAATCGCTGGAACTCTGAACAGTATGCTGCTTGATGAGATGTCGCATGTAGAGAAGGCCGGACTGGAAGAGTATGTCATGGCGCGCTTTTGGCACTCGGTAGGAATTGCAATGGCAGGCGTTGGCTGCAGGTGTAAGCTTTCATGGCGACGATTTTGGGAACATGGTAAGAAACTGATCGGATGTACCGCAGTCTACATTCCTACTAAAACGAACGTTCAAACAACTGCTAAGGCAACGTAGACTTGTTCATTATTCGTAATTGACGTTACCCCCTACCGAGCGCATAGGTCCACGCCCAAGTCATTCCGTGATTGGTTTGATGTTGACTGTAGACTGCGAATAGTAGAAGTTGGTGGAGCGTCTTGGGCGATGGTTGCGGGAGGACTTCACACTTCAACACAAGACACTGCATGTACTGGGATTGGAGGATGATGTTTATTGGCGTGAGGGGTCACTCAAAGCCATTTTGGCACACCACTGTATCTGCACCATGACATCGCCGGTTTCCATGCGTAAGAAAGTGCAGAAGGAGAATAATCGAGAAGTCCGAGAAACCACGCCGTTGACCATCCGTATCCCATTTTGCCAGCCAATCCACCCGGAGCCACCTGTCCACGTCTAGATGTAGGTCTCGTAAGGTACGGGTGTGATGTTCTCCGGCTTCTGCTCCTTGAGGCTGACAATGTGCTCGGCGCGGGGCTGTGCGGGCTGGCGCTTCATCTGTTGGGGCTCGCCAGTCTCCTTGGCCTTTTGTTGCTTGGCGAAGTTGAGCTTGACGCGCTTGAGGAAGTCCTCTCGTGAGCGGGAGTGGCGGACGTGCTCGATGCGGACGTTGATGCGCTTCTCCATGTATCGGTTGCCGACTTGCTTCTGGAGGATGACACCGACGGCGGACTTGGTGACGTTGTAGACGATACCGGTCTTGCCGTGGTAGACCTTGTAGGGCATACCCTTCTGGACGGCACCTGTTTTGCATAAGTCCTCCGCTTCAACCGCTTTCGCTGTGGACCTGGGGTTTCGTACCGTTGGCTACGACATCGACGATATCACCGACCTTGTACTGCTTGAGGTAGGTCGAGAGCGGGATCATTCCCTTCTTTTTGAAATCGCGAGAGAAACTGTCGCAGCGTCAGCAATCGTCCGAATGAATGAATAGAGTGCGCCTTTGGTTCAGACTGCGGTCTGGTACTGCGGTCTGGTCCTTCGGTCGCATGGGGAGAGTCGCAATCATTCCAACTTACGCATAGCGCGTACCCGCGCGGAGACCGGCTGCGTGACCCATTGTGTGTTTGAAGTTGGGCTGGTGGTTAGTAGCTGAGCTGTTGTTGATGGCGGAGTGCTTGAATTTGGCAGAAACGAGGCAGTGTGCGGTGGTCCGCGCATTCGACCAATCGGGTGCTCTTGGCAAAGACCCACATGCGCTCTCGCTACGCAAACACCGAATATTGACCATCTTTTTGTCGTTCTCTATCGCAGACTCAACCATCGACAACCACAATGGCGCCTCCCCGATCCTACTCCAAGACGTACAGCGTCCCCCGTCGTCCTTTCGAGTCCGCTCGTCTGTATGTGCAACCCCATGGCCACTGAGCGAGAGCGTGCTCCGCTTATGTCTGGGACACAAGTTAATGTTGGGTTAGGGATACTGAGCTCAAGCTCGTCGGCGAGTATGGTCTCCGCAACAAGCGCGAGGTCTGGCGTGTCCAGTTGACTCTGTCCAAGATCCGTCGTGCCGCTCGGTGAGTGCTCATTGTTCCCGTCTGCGCGCAATTGATGCGCAGTCTGCGAGATGCGAATTCGCTAACATCTCGCAGTTCGCTTCTTACTCTTGACGAGAAGGACCCCAAGCGTCTCTTCGAGGGTAACGCTCTCATCCGCCGTCTCGTGCGTGTCGGTGTCCTTGACGAGTCCCGCATGAAGCTCGATTACGTCTTGGCCCTCAAGATTGAGGACTTCTTGGAGCGCCGTCTCCAGACCTGCGTCTACAAGCTCGGCCTCGCCAAGTCCATCCACCACGCTCGTGTCCTGATCCGCCAGCGCCACATCCGGTATGCATCCGCCCGCATTCGCTCAAGAAGCGCGCGACTAACAGTATCACAGTGTCGGCAAGCAGATCGTCAACGTCCCCTCCTTCATGGTCCGCCTCGACTCCCAGAAGCACATCGACTTCGCTCTGACCTCGCCATTCGGTGGCGGCCGCCCTGGCCGTGTCAGGAGGAAGAAGGCCAAGGCCGCCGAGAAGGGTGGTGACGAGGACGCCGGCGAGGAGGACGAGGAGTAGACTTGACGCCAAAAGGAATGATTCATGGACGACAGGCGTTAGGCACGATGGGATGAATCTCTTTGATAGTCATCCTGTCCTGGAAAGCACTATATCCCTTGTGGGTCTCGGCTGGTGGATGATCTACATATACTTCACGTAGACACTGCCCAAAAATTTTCAACTGCCATCGTCTGTCTTAGTTCACTTACAATGCCCGTAAACACGTAAATGATGCTTGCCCACGTACGGTTTGTAGGAACCAACAACACCCTGCTGCCTACATCGATGCTACGTCTTGTCATTTGCTTGTTGTTGTCCTATTGTAGGCTGCAGGCCTACTCAGTTCTTTCTTGTATGAGGTGACAGTCTCACCTCATTCATGGCAAAATCCGGACACCGTGGAGCCTACATCAAGATAAAAACATGCAAAGTAGGTGGCCTGACGTTAATGTAGGCTCCCGACCTGTTTAGTTATTTTCTTGTATGAGGTGGTCTGACTGACGCTCTTGCAACGATGGCTGCCCTGTGGCTAAGTCGTTGACGAACCCAAGCTGCATAACGTTTGATCAGCTCGCTGCATTTTGCATCAAACTATTGATGAGCCTAATACCTCCCGTATCTTGGCCCTACCACATGCACACGTTACAACTCAAGCAATCGACAGGTATCAATACGTTCTCACAACACCAGCTTTCGATCACAATGTCTCGATATGCTCTTCCCTACTGCATAATCCTAGTACTCGGAGTCATCGGTATACAACCGCGTCTGCGGGCTAGGTCTCTTCCCCTCCAACGACAGCCCAGCCGCAACCCTCTCCTCGCCCACCTTGGCCCTCGCCTCCTGCATAATCCACAACCCAGAACTAGTTCCCAGCCTCGTCGCGCCAGCCTCCAGCATCTTGACTGCCGTGTCCAAGTCCCTGACTCCACCACTCGCCTTGACCTCCATCTTCTTCTTGCCTATTTTGGCCGATGCGAGGTATTCTGCCGCGGCGACCATGAGCTGCACGTTGGGCAGGTTAGCGCCCGGTCCGTTGAAGCCAGTGGATGTCTTGATGAAGTCGAAGCTAGCAGCAGCGGCAAGATGAGATGCAGCAAGGATTTGCGCGGAGTTTAGTTGCGAAGTTTCGAGGATGAGTTTGAGTGTTGTGGGAGCAGGGCAGAGGCTTCTTATGCTAGCAAGTTCTCTGTAAATGGCGCTGTAGTCTGGGATATCGTCCGCGTCTTCCTCACTAAAGTCGCTGGCGTTGCTGCTTCCAGCATTCTTGGCCGTGTTGGCAGCGGTGATGCTGTCGATGGCTGAGTCACGAGCACGCTCTAACGGTGGAGAAGCCGGTCGGTTGTGCTTGGTGAGGAGGGAATAGTTGAGGACGACATCAAGTTCCCTCGCGCCTGCTGCTACTGCGGCACGTGCTTCTCGCAGCTTGTAGTACGTGTCTTGGGTTCCTTCGTGGAAGCCTACAACGCAGGCTACGAGCACATCGGTGCCTTTGAGGTTGGAAACACAGCGTTGGACATAGTTCAGGCGAACACAGACAGACTGAGAATCTTGTCAGCTTGGGTTTTTCTCGGGAGCGGTGAGATGTAGCACGTGTCCCAGCTAAGGGTGCGACTGTGCCTCATCCCGAAGAAACACCACCACAACTGCAGAAGCACATACCTTGAAGTTCTCCGTCCTGGCCTCAGCGCAAAGCCCATCGATCGTCTTTGTCGTCGCGTCCAACTTGAGTACCGTGTGATCCACCGTCTTAGCCAACTCCTTCAGCGCCTCATCTCCATTCCTCATCCGCGGGCCTTCGTAAACCTTCCTCGCCCTCTCTCCACTTTCCACCTCTTTGATGACATTTTTAACTGTCTGATCAATCTGCGTTTTCCATTCCTGGTTCGTAAAGCGATCCGTCATTATCTCGATGGGGTTCGATTTGTCGTCGCAAAGATCCGGGTTGGCGGCGAGGAAACCGCGGATCAAAACTTCGGATTCCGTCAGAGGGATGGGGTGGGGGTTGGTTGGAGCTCCCGCGCCTGCTGTGGATGAGGTGGACATTTTGAACGACGCGCTTGCAAATGTTTGTTTATTGATCTTGTGATTGTCCACTGATCTATTTTAGTGGCTGTCGAACCGTGAGCCGCGGATGCGCGAGCGAACGAGAGGGCGAGTGGAAGTATTGACGATGACGTGGGGTGGCTTGTTCTCGACTCGTGTCCAATCGTTAATTGAAATAAGCACTTTAGGCGAACGGTTCTGCAGCGGCGTTGCCTCCTGGTCTTTGAGATAAAGGTGGCTGTATCGACGCCTATTATGTAGGAATCTTGAAGTTGGCGGAGGTCGGCGTTTTGCTCGTCATGTGGCTGCTTGTAGGGAAGGTGCTATGAACTGGGTAGGGGTCTCGGCCATGCTTCCCCACTTGGAGAGCAGAATCATTCTGCCAAGAATGATGTCCTTCTTTTCTAGGTAAGAAGCACATCTCTTTGCGATACTAGTAGGTTGTGACCGTTTCCATTCCACGCGGGTGGTACAGTACCCGTATACAACCTGGTGTTCGGTGTAGACGGAACTTGATCAAGTCAGTGTACACCACATAAACATAAAACCGGCGTATGCATGTTATTCACAAGACAATGTTGGATCACTTCTTTGTGTGCGAAACGAGTGTGAGGAATTGACGCTTGATTTACAAAGGACCGCTAGCATGCGTAGGTATCCTCGATTGCAAGCCGGTCCTCACCTCGGACGACTGATCCAAAGGCTCTGAAATGCTATCTCTCCTCCCACATGCATGTACATGAAAGCTGAAAGACCATGCCGAACAAAAGGAAATAGATTCGAGGAAAAGGGTGGTCCATCAGCGCTGAGATATCCGGAACTCCCGTTTTTGTGACTTTTGCATTGACTCGAGTCGAAAGATCCCTCTTCTATCCTGCGGTCGAGTCGATCGGCGCCAATGAGATCTACACCCCTAAGCCATGATAGTCGTCATCGTAACCCATCAATCCCCGCTGTCATCACATCGACGAATCGTCTACTTCCTTCGGAAAGAGCAGCCCTCGGTCAACCGCGCCTTGCCACCAGTTGGCTGGCACCTGTGAATGCGTTAGCCCATGCCCTGTACCCATATCCATTTGTCCCAAACTTACAGGACCTGCGAGCAGCCCTGGCAGACGACGACTGTGTTGGCGTGCGAGAAGACGGTGGTGATGGTGAAGCATCCGGGGCACTTGACGTCCATGAAGAAGGAGCGGGGAGCGGGCACGAGGGTCTTGAGCTTGTGCTTGCGGGCCTCACTACACGCTTGTTAGTCGCAAGTCGGGGGCGAAAGGGCGGGAATGTATGCGTACGCGGCCGGGGAGGGGTTGAGGAGGTCAACTGCGAGAACCTAGGATGCTGTTAGTCCAAAGTCCTCATTGAGATAAATTTTGCGCAGGGCGAGGCGGCGAGAGGTTGCGAATTGAAGATGCTGTGGCAAACTCCGGGCGTCTCGTGTGCCTGCTCAGAATCCTCTCGCGCGGCCGTCCAGACCCTCGGGAACTCGAACTCACCATTCTGACGATTTATGGAGAGTCTTTTGGTTTGGTTGATTGTCGTTGATGGCTTGTCGATGATTCGGGCGCGAAAGTCACGTAGTAGAAGGGGGGGTTGCTGGTTGACAAAATCGACCATTGTGCACCAAGCGAGCTGCGCTAGTGGATCTTGGCGGCCCGTGCTGCGAATTCCACAGGATCTCTTCCCCGGATCAACATAGTTTCACAATGCTTTGCAACATTTTAGTCTTTTTCCTAACGCTGTTGTTCTTTGACTGCAATACGGAACGTTTGTGTTGTTGTGCTGCGTGTTGTCCAGTCTATGACGAAAGCTCGCTCCAGAGCGGCAAGATGCCCACGTGAACTAAACATGAGCAGACCGCCACTAGGGGTGGCTACATTTCGTGATGCTTTATACAAAGAGTGTATAAGAGTAGATGTATACATTTCCATCGAGGCTATCCACTTGTTAAGATTAATACTGTGTATGCTGCAAACTGCGACACATACTCAAGCCACCCGTGTACTCTTGGCTGCTCGTCCTGAAGTATAGCGAAGCAGCTAATTGCTGACAAGCCTTTTGTTCGGGACCTTTTCGATTTACAACGTCGAAATCAAGTGAACAATTGCAACTGGACTGCATGCCGCTACACCACACTCATTGCTTCACCTCTGATTGCACAGCAAAGTGCATCTTCAAAACTAGAAGTAAACGAACATGTCCCAATCGGACCGATTCGCAGGTATGATGCATCCAAGCACACGACACGAGTGAGCTTCCCAAGGCAAAAGTTCGGGAGAGCTCTGACTGGTCAGAAGTCGTGCCGCCGAATCTGTGGAGCACTCTGCTTTTGACCGGGAATGTGAGAGCAGCAATCGTAGACTCTCTGTGTGGTCATTTGGTCTAGCTGAAGTTGACTCGACTGAGCGCTAAAGTGCGAGGTATTGCCCCATTGCATCTGGGGTGACTTCCCTTTTACCCCACTTAGCGTCATTTCCAAGCTCGTCGTACGTCGTATAGACTGCGGCTGCATATAAGTACGAGGAGGAAACAACAAAGAGTGAAAGAATAAACAATCCATCCAGTTCACCGGCGATTTGTATCTCAACATGGCCGCGCAGCAGAAGAACACGCAGGAGATAGAGAAGGCGAAGAAGCTCAACCATGTGCCCTGGGACGAGGAGTACGAGAAGATGATCTCTGGTATGCTGTATGTATACACATTCTACTGTCTGCAATGAGTTCAAACTACATCACTGCCTTCTCTTTAAGAAGTAAACATGCACACTATTGAAGGGGAAACCCAGATATCGTGAAGCCTACATCAACGCTACATGTTCCTCTATCTAGCATTATCTTCATGTAGACTGCAGGCAAATGTTTTCATACCGTAGGATACTGACACAACCCCAGCTACAACGCCTTCACCCCGTCCCTAAACGCCGCCCGCTTCAAAGCCCGCGCCTTCGCCCACAAATACAACACATGGTTCCCCG